GTTTGTTCGGCAGAAACGAATGAACACTAGCAGCATCGTATTGCTAAATTTCCGTGGCCCAGGCCATACTTGCCCGATGGTGACGCCGAAGCTCGGGCCCCGTCTACCATCTACGACCCGCGACACGGCCCCGTCATTCACTCGGGAAAAGACTGCAGCAGTGCTCACAGGCCCTGTATATGAACATACAGAAGAGGCTTGCCATGAATGTGGATGAGCAGCCCGAAGCCTACCGCAGTCAACAGTACAGTACCACACGAATGCTTGGCGAGCTCAACACTTGTGCTCCTCTGTTAGGGCCGCCGAGCTGCTCCTGATGACAGTCCCGTGCTCGGTTCTCCGGCTTGCTTAGAACGCCGCCATGCAATTCTGTCCGAGGTGGGACATGGAGATGACGAGGCCAGGGGAGCTTTCTGTGTGTGTGTGCTGGGTCTTTAGAACGAAACATCTCATGCGGAGGCCCCGACCGTGCAGCTGCCGCTGATGACGGAGGCCACCGAGTCGTGAGGGTTCCGGAAGCACGGCTCTGCAAGGACGGGCCTGAACCGTCCTGCAGGCCATCGGGTTCCTCTTCAACGAGGAAAACCTGGCCCGCACAGGGGCCCGGGTGGTCTGCCTCAGCGCCTGGGCTGCAGATATGAGGAAGTGAAGCAGCAAAAGCCTGTCAGCACCGCTCCATGCTGTGACGCGCAACCTGCGGAGGCATGCTGAACATGAAGAATGCAGAGGTCCCTCGCTGGTTCAGCAGCTCGCCTAGCGGAAATGTGGCAACTTGCAGGTGCGAGCAGCTGCCTTGGAGGCCTGGTCCGGATACCGCAAGGAGGGGCCCGAGCGCCAAGCCCCGTTTGGTTTCCAGAACAGGTCTTGGAGGAGAGCCTCCTACCAATCCTGGCGGCCGCGCTGCAGACCTCCTGGGCAGCTTGGCCGGTTTTGGCCGGTAGACACGGCCGATGGGCCAAAAACTGTGTGGGGGTTAAGAAGTCCCAGGCAGACATGGCCTCCGCCGCCCGCGTGGGGGACGAGGACGCATTCCGCTCGGCGACATGCGCAGAAGAGGTCCGCTCCGACCAGTGGTGAAGTCGCCAAACACGCTACTGCAAGACGCTGGCCTACTTTCGGCAGCTGTTGCAGGACATCTTGGAGTTCGTGGGCGAGATGCTTGGCCTCGGGCTACCCGGGGTGACGCAGGTGCGGCCACACCCAAGTGCAGGTGCTCCAATCTCGATAACATTTTGGAACGGGTTCGAGGCCATCGCGGATGCCATCGTCGCCGAGCTGTTGCTGCCGCAGCTCTTCGTCCTTGCACCGCCGGCTCAAAGCGGTGATGTGTCAGGGGGTTCGCCACGGGCATGAGGTGAATCGGGGATATCGATGGGGCGAGCTGTGATGTGCTGTTTTGGCCAGGCTGCCTGGCACCAACCTAAGCCGGTGCAGATTCGGCCAGCCCGACACTCAAGCCCGTGTGTTCACGGCGCGGGTCAGTGACGATTGCCTCGACCAGATCTTCGACTGTTTCCCCGATGAGACGAAGCGGCAGCCTCGGTCGGGAAGGA